GGTCCAACGTGGACATCCCTTAGTGGATTTGTATAGGATGGTTTGCATAGGGATGATCCTGCCTCATGCATGGGGATTGGACTAGAAGACCTCTGGAGGTCCCTTCCAGTCTTACTTTTCTGTGATCGATGCTTATGCTTTTATCCAATTGCTATCACTACATAGTACATGAATGGCTCTCAGAGCACAGTTTAGAAAGATGGGCCAGAACCTAGGGCTCTTTCATGCCAGGGGAAGGCCCTCCTCAATGGAGTCACACTTCCTGTTGCATATATTTTCTGTCGCCCCATGTATGTTTCATTTCCAGCTTTCTAGTGGGTCTGTTGAAGCACAAGGGGGTAGACTGGCCCAAGGCACTTCTCAGGGACGTGCGAGATATGGGTCAACCTTCCTCTGATTGTACAAGATGTAAAACCTGGGCAGGCAATCCCTCAGAAATAGCACAGTGAGCTGTCCTACACAGTGAGCTGTTGGCCTGAAAGTTGGATGGGCCCTGTTCTGTCCATGTTGATATTTCCCACAGAGTGAAAGGGATTAATTTATTTGGCAAGTAATAGTCTCTCACAACTGAAGAATAGGAGAGAGAGGTATTTTTTGGGGGGGATTAAGATCAGTGAAGACTACCAATGATACAACTAGAAAGTTAGTGGTATGTGAAGGCGGATTAAGATTGGTCTCTGGATATGCACTGGACTGCCTATTGTGAGATTCAGACAGCTTGGTGTCACCTTGGGGAGATTGTTATTGTGATTATTCTCCTGAGGCTGAAGGTGTCATTTTCTCAGTAACCATGGGAAAGACTTATAGGATTTGATCTTAAGTGCTATTGTCAGGCCTCCTGCAGTCTCTATATCACTCCCTATCAAACATCCTTCCCTTCCAACCACCACAGTGGACACAGTCATCTGGGAGTCTGTGGCCTGAGAGGAGATAATTCATACCTGGGTTGAGAACCAGTCCATGTTCTTATCATAATCAATATTCATGGGAATGTGGCTCATCTGTGTGACCCAAGAAGTCCAAATACTGTTCAGGACTCTATGAAAACAAAAACACGCATGCACACATGAAGTAGTCACTGATCCAGAAGCTGCTCAAACTCAGAAAGTGTATACCTCCTTAGTGCTGCCAGTAACACTGATGATGATGCCGGTCTCCTAAGACTATGTGCTTTAGCCACATCAGTCAGTGATTGACCACAAGCAGCACCTCCGGATAAGGAACGTGACAAGAACCTTAAGGTCAACCCATTTCTTGATAACCAGAGGTGTTGTCATGATGCAGTCTCCACCCTGACTCACAGTATGGCAGTCAAAGGAGTGTCTTTGAAGTACTATAGAGTTCCCTCCTGGTACAGAAATAAGAAGCAAGTGAGAAAATTAGGAAGGATGGGTGGCTGTGTTGAAAGAGGCAAAGTGGGCTGAGTTGTAGCCTGAGGTTCTGATGGAGAACTTTTTTTTAAAGCTTGGTCTGAGCATGTGTTGATGTAAATGGTTGCTGTAAGTAGTTCAACAGATAGGACAACTGGATACCCTTTCACCACAGGGGAAGATGGGAATCTTGGCCTAGCAGCAGGGCCTGGGGACTGTTCCATGATTGCTTCTCCATGACCTTCTTTTTAATTGTATTAGGTGAGTTATTCACTGTGGGAAAGTACCATCATTTTATAACTGTTTTGCTGCCAGGGTGGCTGTCTGTCAGAGAAAGGGGGAGGCTCTGAGTGAGATGGGGAGGAGAGAATGGGTAAAGGGGACAGAGAGAAACTCATAGGGGGGACAGAGCGGAAAAGGAACAGTCCAAGGGAGGACAAAGTAGAGTCGAAGGAAGGACAGAGGGATCTGCAGTGCTACAAAAAAGCCTTTGTCTGAAGCAGAATCTGCTGTGTTGTTTGGGATGTCAGCATTTTAGCCTCTCTTTCCTCCTTCAAAGAAGAAATATACCCCCTTCCTAGGACCAAAAAGCAGGAGGTCTTTGAGGTTGAGGTGTTACTGCTTAATGTGGAAGTCAGGGACAAAGATAAGGATCTCAAAGCAGGAGCTTGCCCCTTGAGAAGCCATCTCAGGGCTGGCTTCAGGGGATACCCGCAGGAGAGGCAGATGAGGCAAGGCTTCTTCCTGGAGCGTCCTGAGGCACAGCCTCCCCTGGAAGATGTGTAATTCCATGACAGTGGCCTGAGTGATAAGAGAGGATGGAGAAGAGAGACAGATTGACCCAGGGGAACAAGGAAGAGAAGGTGTGGCAGAGCCAGAGACATTGTTGGGTTCAAGGAGTGATACCTGATCAGCACAAAATAGCCCAGCAAAGCCTTCAGCTCCAATAGGGGCTTGTAGAGGAGAAACAGCCAGATGAAGTAGCTCAGCACACAGGCCAGGTCCTGCCAAGAGGGAAGTGGAAAAATGTAACAGTTAGTCATGGCCTCCCTTATTCCCTTGTGGATCCTTTAGTTTGCTGGATTTTGCCGATCTTGTCCACTAGCAATTGTGGAATGACCCAGCAGGTACCCACACTCAGTACCCCTGAAGGTTATATTTATGAACAGGGAAACACTGGATTGCATCAGTGCAGCTCCCCTTACCCCATCTTTTAGGAACACATCTGGTAGTGCCTGACTACAATGCATATGCTGTATTTTGAACAGTTGCGCCAATCACCATGGTTTCAGGGCTTGCATGTGAACATGTTTCCATGGCTAAATCATCTTATATTAAACAATACTCCTCCACCCCAAGAAAGGATTACCCCACTTACAACTAGTGAACACCACAGAGTACATAATTCACTCTTCCTGACAAATAGCACCAGGCTCCCTGCAATCACCACATATTCTTCTTTTCATTCACTACAGTGCGCCCCTTTATAATAAACTTCTGTGCAACTCCTGTCCAGGACTGCTGCTTCTGAGTGTTTGTTAGTAGTCTGGCTGGTCATAGGGGGACTTTAGTGAAAGGGGTTGCAGGATCTGGGGTGGTATCATCAAAGGGTCCAAGTTAGGTTATGACTTCTGGTCCACAGAGCTGATGGCCAGAAAACAGGATCAACTGCAGTGTGCTCATAGAGGAAATAAAAATCTATATTTATGTAGTAGGCATGATATAAACATAGCACACACCACACAGGCCAGAACAGTGTACAAGAGGCTCCAGCCCCTTGAACTCCTCAAGCTGGGATGCTGCTCTGCAGCAGGTTTTCAGGTGAATACCAGGTTTCATAAATTAGCTACACCCGAAGCTCACAAACGAGGCAAAGACTGGGAAAAGGAATGGGCATTTTTACACGTGCTCAGGGAGGCATGCGGGGGGGCACTATAATTAGTAAGCCATGCTAATTAAAAGCATCTGGCCGTCATTTTTATCAGCGTCCCCCATGCTGAAAAGTGGCAGCGGGGCACTCTGAACTAAAGCTCATTGAATGAGCTTTAGTTCAAAGTGCCCCACCACCATTTTGCGGCGTAGGGATGCTGATACATGTGACGCCAGAGGCTGCTGCAGTGTATTTATTTCCATGTTTGATTAATCAAGTCTGCTCCAATGTGCTGGATTTCCAGTGCGTCAGAGCTGCTCCCTGCACATGCCTAGGAGCCCGAAGTTTCCAGGGTGTAACTTCTCATGTTCTTCTGTCTCATTCAAAGCTTCTTGACTATCCCAACTCTTGGACATGTAGTACTTACCAGCCACTGTTTTCTTTGGATTACGTGGTAGAAAGTGGAGAATTGGATGTAGGTGGAAAACAGAAACGGAGGCACTGCTGGAAACGGACATGAGGAGAACAGGGACATATTATGAGCTACATTATTAAAATCAGACAATCTGCCCTCAAAAGAGAGGTCTGTGAGGCCACAGGATCCTCTAGTAACTGAGCTGGTCTCATGTACAGGGCAGGCTGACAAGCCCAGGGGAAAAGGTTTTGGAAGGTCCCAGGGCAGCTAATAAATGTGGGAGGTGGAGCTGGTGAACTTGTTTGAAGAGAAAGAGGCCACTTGAGACAGTTTTGGGTAATTACTCCTCCCTAGACCTGCCGCTGCCTCTCCATGGAAAGGCCAGCAAATACCTGCTGTTGTTTCCCACAGGACCTTCCAGGGGACAAAATCTTGCCAGAAACGAGCCAGCAAAACCGGAGAAACATGAGAAATATCAAAAGAAACCTAGACAGTGGTAGCTTTGAAAGGTCTCAGCTGGGATTAGGACATAGTTATTCTGAGGGCATAACTGACTAGAAATTAAACAGTACCTGCCCAGTTGGGTTTATTGCCCTCTACTGAGCATGTTGGAGCCAACAAGTATAGTTTCCTCAATAGAGAAATGACAGACTCTAAAGAGAAAGAGGCTGTCACAGGGTGGACCTAAAATGCTAGGTAAGGCTGTTGTGGCCTGATACATTTTGATTTTTCCCTAGTGACAGTAACTATGACTCTTTTAGGGAGAAGCTGTTGGAAACCAGAGAGCTGCCTGAGTGCTTTCATGGTATCCAAGGAAACTGAATTGTATAGAATCATCTTGCAACTCGTCATCCAGCTCATGTAAGTCATTCTCCCTCATTCTGCAAAATATGCTTGTACAGACGCTGGCAGACAGTGTATGGGCTAGACACTACATACCCAAGCAAGGACAGATAATGGTTGATCAGGGTATAGGTGGCCAGTCCAAACGGAGCATGCTAGATTAGGGGTTTATGAGAGTGGAAGCTATGGTCAAACCAGGCATCAGTCCTCATCCAAGAGAGCAAGCAGAAGGTTGAGATGAGGTCAAGGTCAGGGGAAGCAGTTGAATAAGGCCAGGAGGTCCAAGACAGAAACTGGAGCAAGCAGGAAGAGGCAAGATGGTCCAAGCCAGAAGTTCAGAGCAACAAATCACAAGCCAGAGGTCAAATGCCAAAGTCAGATTCAGAGATTCCAAGAATCTGACTGGTGTTTTTTCTTTTTTGGAAAATTTTTCATGTTCCAGGTGAAATTAGTCAGATCAAATCCAAATCCATTTGAATCATTCAAGAACCATATGTGGCCCTGCTACCATCTGGGGTTTCAGATACTTCCATATCCTTTGGAGGCATCCTACATGCAGGCCCAAGCCTGGAGGCTTGGGGTTCAGATGCCCCCAAGTTTTGCTTGCCCTCAGCTGTATGGCCACAGGAGCCAGCCAGGGAAGAGTCTCCCATTTCCATAAAGTTGGCGTGTAGCCAAGATCCTCCCACTGGAAGCTGGCAAGTGAGAAGCTAATTATGAGACTCTCATGGGGAGTCCTGTCTGCAAGCAGACAGGGGTGTACCCTCCACTACACAGTGCCATTTTAATTGCATTTTCGGCTCGGGTATCAGACCAGTGAACTTGATCTTAGCCCACAAGAGGCAGAGAATCTGAGAGATACAGCAAGGTAGTCTGTTGACAACACAGCTTGCTGCTGTTTGGTCCGAACTTATACAGGGCAGTGTGGGCTGGGCCCCCTTCCTAAAAGATGATTAGCCCGATTCCTTATTTGTTTGAGCTGAAGACTGGGACTGGCTCTGACCCAGGTAGGCTTTGGCTTATTGAAGAATACATTAGATTGTCACCCATGTGCAGATGCCCAACCAAGTTCTGGAAATGGCTTCGTCGTCATGACTTCACTCAGGCTGCTCTATGTCATGTAGGAGTCAGCTATGACTTGTCAGACTTTCTAAGCAGATAGTCTGTCATCAACCATGGGTGATCATTTCTGACAAGTATCACCAAGTCATTGAAGGACACCACGAATAGGCCTGCTTGCCACCCAGGTCAATTTAAGCATCCATATTTCGGAGGCACAAGGAGCACAAACCTATAATAATGGAGCACACTTTTTGTGATGCTAATGCACAGTAGATTAATTCTACTGCACGTTAGTGCATCAGCACAGTTTTTGCCTGCCATGCTAATGTGCAATAGAATTAGTTTACTGCACATTTAGCATCTTGTGTAGTTGTGCCCTGTGTCTCTCTCATTTAACTTGGCTAATATGGATTGCACTAGCAGATCAAATGGGTTTTAGTATGTGCTCACAAGCAGAAGAAGAACACAGGGAGCTTCTCCTCAGTTTTCTAAAGCCTTTTAAGACCTGCCATTCAAATCATTAGCACACATAGCTTAATTCAACTAGTACAGGCTTGTTATGCTTGGCTACCATCACACTTCCGATTTGCTGTGAAGATGTGCCCTGAGATTGTGTTTGTCCATTTACATCTTTCATTCTGTTGGTGGAGAATGAAAAATGGAATCCAAATAGAAGAGTGAGACAGGGAGGAGAGAAATGTAGCTGGTAGCCAGGGCGAGAGCGAGCATGTGCAAGAGCAGTGACAACATAGAAAGAATATTAGGTAATGACGAGGCAAGAGGATTCCATGCCCTTCGCTCTACTTTCTACATAGTGGGTACATCTACAAGTGCATTTTACTGTGGAATTGACTAATTAGCACCACAGTAAAGCATCACTGTCCACATGTGTGCCAGTATTAGGGTGTAGTAAATTAATTAACTTCACTGTAAGATAGTACTGTTGGGGACCATACTATCTTATGGCAGGGTAATTAACTGCCATCAAACTCTCACGTGGATGGTGACCACCAGGTACAAAGTGCACCTGGTCAACCCAGCTAGCCAGGCCCAGACCCCTGGCTCCTGCCAGCCTTCTGACACCCAGTGCTGCAGAGCCCAGGATTGCCCCCCTGTGCCCCCTGCCAGCCCGAGGCTGCTCTGCCCCAGCTGTAATTGCTGTGGTACTGGGTACACATGTAGATGATCTGCCTAGAAGAAGTTAAACCTGGTGTGAACTGCTTTGGAGTTTATTGTGTTGCCTTAATAGCACATGTAGATGCACCCAGTGATGCCCTGTCAAGCTGGCCAGGGGAAGGAGAAGCCTGTCTCTGCTCATTCCCCACTGGAAGGAACTAATTCTAGAAGCTCTAGCAACTGTTTGTAGGTGCCCTGTGTGGGATCAGAGATACTCACTGATGAAGAAGTACTTGTGCTGGTGGTTGTACGGCAGGAACTTTTTCTTCTTCATCCCAAGCTGTGAAAGGATAGGAGACCACAACATATTATCTGGACTAGAACCACCCAGGCAAATATTCAAATCGTGCCCCAAACACTGAAATATTCCTTCAACACCTCCCAGTTTAAATTAATAAGAAACCTATCAGGAGAAGATGCAGCAGTGCTCCCACATGCAAAAACCTCTGTCCCAAAGAGACAAAATACAATGTGCAGCTGTCCTGTGCAGTGGTCCCTGGTGTCTGTAGAGGCTGTTCATCCTTTCATCCCACCATTCCCTGACAGACTCTACAGTCCATGAATTTTCTACCCCAACTCCTAATTCTCTCTATCCCCTCAACAGTTGCATTGTTAAATTTATAACAGACAAAAAGAAGATCTATATTCATGATGAAGAGAAGAGTGCTCTATGATGGAAAGGACTGAGAGAAAGAGTATAAAATACATTAGTCTGAATTTTTTTCTGTAAGCTAACATAAAGGTAATTCCACAGCAGCAGTCCAGGCCCTAACCTTCTCTCTTATTTCTAGATTAAGAATGAACCAGTATGGAGCACACCCACTTGGTGCCTTTATGGTACAGAAAATTAAAATTATTTTCTTTCATCAGACTTTCCAGAAAAAGTCACCTGTGAACAAAGACTGCACCTGAAAAAAATCCATTTGGAGGATAAGCCCATGTAAGGGTTATAAAAGCCTTTTCATTGGGCTCTTAGGATATTGCCCTGAGAGTTGGGGTTTCATTGTGTTTCCATTCTAATTAACTCCCAAGTGGCATTTTCTCAGTTACATAACTGCCAGTTCTGACACTTAAGTGTATTTTGGGATCCTGTTCAAGAGCAGTGTGGAGGCACAAGGGTTCAAATGGCTAAAGTTCATGTGCTGTAGCCTGCACTCAGGATGGGCAGGTAAAAGCAGCTGTGGATTCTGCCCTACTCCCTTGCTTCCAAGCAGGCAAAGACTTATCACTGATCAGATGTTCCCCATTCCCTTGATTCAATATATATTGAATGCAAGTTTCAGTGGCTTAATCTGAACAAGAGGGCCAGAAGTAGCTCTAACTCTGACCTAACCTGTCATCTGGGGGTGCTAGAAAGTATGAGAGAGATGTAGATACCTCTTGTTTCATGACAGGCTAAAGTTATGTAATGAATGCTTAAGAACTCATGTTCAAAGCAAAATAACTTTCCAGTCAGAGGACAGCTGACAGTCCTCAGTAGATAAGTGGACACTCATGCAACCCTGCTAAACATGAGACATGAAACAGTATTTCCATTTACGTGCGTAAATCAAAATAAGATTCCATCCATAGCATAGGTATCATGATCTGCTATCAGTTTCAGCTGTTTTTTTTCTTTTCCTGACCTACTGTCTTCCTCATTTTTTACCTATTTCCATTCTTCATCTATGTTGTTGTGTATTTCTGGAACCATTGGGATTTCAAACAGCAAGTCCAGCCATCTGCTGGACCATTTCCAACATTTCTAATAAGCAGGTGTCGCACCTAATGTGATGTGTCAGGTACTAGAGAGTCAATACCTGACCATCAATAACATCCTGACATTAGAAGAAACCAAGCTATTCCATGTTCACCTCCACAGAGAGTTTCTTTCCCAAGGTGAACAAGAACGGATGCAAGTTGACATCAGGGTCTTTGCGGAAGCAGTTTGTCTTAGCGTGATGCTGGCCGTGCAGGTGATTCCACCAGCTGCATGAGAATCCCTGTAGAAAGGGTGACCAGAGGTTACAAACATCAGTGTGATCAGAAGGGAACACTTGCAGCCATTGCTTCTTCCCTTCACTCTGAAAGTTATATCCTGTTCCTCTTCCTGGTATATTCAGGATATAGTCCCTCCAGGAGACATTTTCTGACTCAAAAGAGAGAGATTGCTCCTCCTGAAGCTTCATAGAACACTACCTGGGTATAGGAGTGCACTGAGATGTGCCTGCTCCTTTAAGGCTGAAGCTTCCCGGCCAGGGAGCTCTGCAGGCTAAGCAGAGCTCCACAGCTGCAGGTTGCCTGGGCGACAGCCTAATGGGGAAATTGGGCAGCACCTGTGGGTGTCAGATGACAGGAAGCAAGCAGGGTTTCAGGGCATATGAGCCCGGGGCTGGAGCTAGCAGGGGCACTGTCTTTCCGGCAACTGCTAGGGGAAGGAGCTCCTCTGCATGAGGGAACTACCTAAGATGCGGTGCTGCCTGTTTTCCTGCCCAAGTACAGCAAGACGCCAGGAGCCTTCCAGGTGCCTAGGGCTAGGGGCATATATCCCTAAGGGTGGAAGTCTGTCCCCTTAAAGCGGCATAGCACTGTTGCCATTTGCTAGTGTTTAAGTTATAGCCCAGGGGCTTATGCTTGTGTTACTGTTTGCACTGGAGGACTGGGATGAGGCTATAAGGGGAGGTTCGGAAGCCTCATTAGTGCCTGGAGAAAGGGGCATATGATTTGGGTACAGCCTGGTGATAGGCAAAGAGAGAGGGGTGCAGCTACAGGGGCGCAGAGCCCAGCACCAGAGGGGCGCAGAAGTGACAGATAGTAGTATAACACCTGGAAGGCTTGGGACATGGTAAAGGGGAGGTTGGAGCTGTGCATTACACCCTTAGTATTAGGGCATAAATGGGGCAGTCTCCTGCCCAGAAACAACGTATTAATCATATTAAAGGTGTGGTGGGTGAGACAGGTGGGAGGGCTGATGTAGTTATTGCCCTCAGGACTGCCCTCTGTCACACTGGGGCAGGTATTTACTGCGAATGAGCCCATCACAATGAACTGAGCCAAGTGGTTCCATTTGGTCTTGCAGAACACTGAGAGGTGCCCCAAATCATGCTGCAGAACCAGACTCTGTTGCTGCAAAAAAAAATAATAAAAAGATGCACTGAGAAAACAAAACACAAGGTACAGAAAACTATTCTCAACATGCTCAGTCACAGAGGCCCCTTCCCCCATGGTGCTGAAACTGCCTCCTTCTCTCAACCCATTGTACTGGGTCAGAGCCCCTCTAGTGGATGACAGCAGGGAGGCATTTCCATGAGTTACCCAGCAGGGACTTCATAGGTTGTAATTCAGCCAGAAATTCTTAGGTAGAAACTCTCCACTGCCTGTAGTTTAATTCAATCTGGTCACTGTGTTCCCAGAACTACTCAGGGCTCTGTCTGCACTTACATACAAAACACTGATTCTCCATTATCTTGCAGCTTGCATGGTCTTTAGACCAGTGCAAAGAGGGTGGAAATGTTACCAAATCAAATCTCTTTACTCACTAACATCAAGAGAATAAATTCACTTTACACCAGAGTACAAGACTCCACAAACTACCCAACAGTGGAGAATCAGACCTGAAGCCTGTAACAATTAATAGGGTAAAATACAACATTGCAAGGTATAAACTGAATTGGAACAACTCTGTTCCACTGTGTTCACACTGAGTAGCAGCTAGAGAAACAGAATAATGTGGCTGGTAATAATGGGGTGCAAGGAAAAGGCTGGCCTTTGGCTACATATATTAAATATTAACCTTACCATAGAGGTTGCCATCAGCACTGCTGAGATGAGCAGAGGCATCAGAGACATCCTGAAATACCAGAGAATGATCCAGCTGGCAGCTTGAAACAGCGGAATTTGCAGAAAATTCAGGAAGAAGAAGAGACCACTGGGCTTCAGAAGTCCCATCCTCTCAACGGTGGAACACAGTTCACGGAAATCCTGTACCAGCAATTTCTGCGAGGGGAATCAGTGTGGGATGCAAGTGACATCAAGAGCCACAAAATAGAGCAGATAATGGCATGGAGAGAGAGGGTTCTTTCTCTGGTTTGTGATATTTTTATTGTATATTACCTTTGTTAATACTCTGACAAGGAGAGGAGAGGTATGCGTTTGTTTATTTGTTTTCAGCAGGTATCATGATCAAAGCATCATAATGTCTGGAAGAAACCATATCACCAAAACCATTACCTCTGTCAACACTTCTTGAGCCTTTTCCTGTACTAGGTATGAAAGATGGGGATTCTGAAATCAGATGCCTGAACCTAGATCCTATTCTTGCTTTCTGGAAAATTTGGTATCTTTGACCACTGGGGAGTGCTGGAAGGTTTGCTGAACACAGATATAGTCTCCTACTTTGTCAGGTGAAGCTAGTTTTTTGATAGACTTACTAGCTTAGTGAGGAGGGCTAATAACTGTGATCAGCAAGGGACACAGACAACAGCACACAGGTAGATATAGACCAGAGTGCTCTAGATAAAAGCCTAAAATTTGGGATGAAATATGGGAAATCTTACAAATCTCTAAAGAATGGAAATAGAAGTGCATATCAGCCTGTCATTTCATAGAATCATAGAAAATGAGGGCTGAAGGGACCTCAGGAGGTCATCTAGCCCAACCCCCTGCTCAAAGCAGGACCATCCCCAACTACATCATTCCATCCAGAGCTTTGTCTACCCAAGTCATAGAAACCTCCAAGGATGGAGATCCCAAATCCTCTCTGGGTAACCTGTTCCAGTGCTTCACTACCTTCCTAGTGAGAGAGTTTTTTCCTAATATCTAGCCTAAACTTCCATTGCTGCAACTTGAGACCAGACCATTGCTCCTTGTTCTGTCATTTGCCAACACTAAGACTAGTCCAACTCCATCATTGTAGGAACCTGCCTTCAGGTAGTTGAAGGCTGCTATTAAATCACCATTCATCCAACCCATACTTCCTTGGGTTACTTGCAAGAATGTTGTGAGAGACTGTGTTAAAAGCCTTGCTAAAATCAAGGTATATCACATCCACTGTTCTTCCTGTATTCACAGAGCCAGTTATTTCATCATAATAGGCAATCAGGTTGGTAAGGCATAACTTGTCCTTGGTGAATCCATGTTGACTGTTCCTAATCACCTTGTCCTCCAAGTGCTTAGAAACAGATGCCTTTAGGACCTGCTCCATGATTTTTCTAGAATCTGAAGTGAGGCTGAGTGGTCTGTAGTTCCCTGGATCCTCTTAAAAATAGGCACTATATTTTCCCTTTTCCAATCATCTGGGACCTCTCCCAATCACCATGAGTTTTTAAAGATGATGGCTAGTGGTTCTGCAGTCACATCAGCCAACTCCCTCAGCAGCTTCAGGCGCATTGCGTTTGGTCTCATGGACTTGTACAGTTCCAGCTTTCTTAAATAGTTCCTAACCTGTTCTTGTACCGCTGCCAGTAGTCTGGGAGCTGACCTTGCCTGTGAAGACAGCTGAAAATGGCATTGTGTACTTCAGCTTCTTCTGCATCATCTGCCACTAGATTGCCTCCACCATTTAGTAAAGAGCCCTCACTTTTCTTTATCGTCCTCTTGTTGCTGACACACTTGTAGAAACCCTTCTTGTTACTCTTCATGTCCCTTGCCAGCTGCAACTCCAGTTGTGCTTTGGCCTTCCTGATTTCATCCTTGCATGTCTGAGCAATACTCTTCTACTCTTCTCTAGTTATTTGTCCAAATTTCCATTTCTTATAAGCTCCCTTTTTGTGTTTTAACTCACTGAAGAGTTCCCTGCTGAGTCAAGCTGGTCTTCTGCCATATTTCCTAGTCTTCCTGCACATTGGGATGGTTTGTTCCTGAGCCCTCAGTTAGGTTTCTTGAAAGTATAGCCAGCTCTCTTGGACTTCTTTCCCCCTCAGACTGGCTTCCCAGGGGATCCTGCCCATCAGTTTAATGAGTGAGTTGAAGTCTGTTTTTCTGAAGTCCAGGATCCAAACTCTGCTGTTCTCCTTCCTTCCTTTCCTCAGAATCCTGAACTCAATCATCTTGTGGTCACTGCTGCCCAAGTTGCCATCCACTTACTAAATTCCCCATCAATTCTTCCCTGTTTGTGAGCAGCAGGTCAAGAAGAGCACAGCTCCTAGTTGGCCTCTCCAAAACTTGCATGAGCAATTTGTTTCCAATCCTCTCCAAAAGCTTCCTGGATTTCCTGTGCACTACTGTATTGCCCTCCCAGCAGATGTTAGGGTAATTGAAGTTCCTCTTGAAAACCAGGGCCTGTGATCAGGAAACTTCTGCTAGCTGTTTGAAGAAAGCCTCATCCAACATATTCTCCTAGTCTGGTGGTCTATAGCAGACACTCACCATGGCATCACCTTGTTGCTCTCCCCCTCCTAACCCTAACTCAGAGACTTTCAACAGGCCTATCTCCAGTTTCATACTGGAGCTCTGAGCAGTCATATGGCTCTTTTACATAAAGTGCAACTCTTGTTCCTCCTCTCCCCTGCCTGTCCTTCCTGAACAGTTTGTACCCATTCATGACAGTGCTCCAGTTATGCAAACTATCCCATCAAGTCTCTGCTATTCCAATCACATCTAAGTTTTGTGACTGTGTGAGAACTTCCAATTCTTCCTGCTTTGTTTCCCAGGCTCTGTGCATTCATGTACAGACACCCGAGGTAACTAATCAGTTGACCTACTTTGTCAGGAAGAATGAGAAGACCTCCCTTTTTGCCCCCTCATGTTTCTACTTCCTCCAGGTCACCTTCTTCCCACTTACCACAGGGCCTTGGTCTCCTTTCCCTGGCCAACCTAGTTTAAAGCTCTCCTCACCAGGTTAGCGAGCCTGTCTTCGAATATGCTCTTCCCTTTCTTTGTCAGGTGGATCCCATCTCTTCCTAGAAATCCTTCTTCTTGGAACAACACCTGATGGCTGAAGAAGCCAAAGCCCTGCTGGTGACACTCTGCACAGCCATGCATTGAACTGCAAGATGCGTCTTGCAGTCTGCTTCTGCCTGGGGTCTTCCTCTTGACTGAAAGGATCTAGGAGAACACCACCTGAGCCCCTGTACCCTTCACCCTTGCACCCAGAAACTTGCAGTCATTATTGATCTACTCAGTGTCTCTCCTGGCAGTATCATTGGTACCCCTATGGATGAACAGTGTGGGATAGTAGTCAGAGGGCAGGATGAGACTCAGTAATCCTTCTGTGACATCTCAGATCCAGGGTCTGGGCAAGCAGCAGACCTCCCAAGACAACAGACCAGGCTGGCAGATGGATGCCTCCATCCCCTGCAGAAGGGAGTCTCTAACCACCACCACCACCACCACCACTCATTGCTTCTGCTTAGGGTCAGTGGTCTCTATCTTTCTAACCTTAGGGATGCCTCGCCTGGCCTTCTCCACCAATGGAATGTGGTCCTCCTCTTCTGTTGCTAGGACTCCCTATCTGTTCTCCAGACAAACTACTGCTAGTGGAGATGAAGATTTCTGCTTGCTGCCAGAGGTCACAAGCTTCCAGCTTCTATCTTCCTGTGAGTTCGTGTCCTCTTCCTTCTCTAGCACTGCCCTTGGCCGTCTTCCTCCAAAGTCCTAGGAGTCTCCTCCAGAATTGCATCCTCATGGTGGAGGATGCTCTGGGGTCTTGCCATCCCCTCCTGTAGCTCTCTTGCCTGCTCCTGGAAGGACACCATGAGGAGGCACTGCTCACATCACAGCGCTCACATCACCTGGCTATCACTGGAAGGAACCTGCCAGCCTGAGTCTCCACAGTGGAAAACCAGGACCTGGGCCAAAGCTTCGATAGCTAGTGGCCCTGCCTGGAGAGATAAAAGCTCACGGGTGCAAGCAGAAGAAAAGCTGGCAGTGGCTCAGGCATTGCAAAGTCCTCCAGCCATTTCTCTGGGTCTTTTCATCTACTGCCTGTCTCATGCTGCCCCTCTTCCAAGTAGACCTTCCCTAGCAAACTCACCTGTAAGCTGACCTATTTACTGCTCCTTGGTCCCAAAATGTTCCTTTTCCCCTGCTTTCTCTCAGCAAGCTTACAGTGAAGGAAGGTGAAAGACAGTTTCCAGGCAAACTCCCTAGCCAACTCCCCCTTGCTTGGGACTCTAGTTAAGCAAGAGGCTTAAGTATTGGTCTAACTTCTGAGTTTTAGCTACTTACACTAAATATATGTAGATTAGTTACTCATAACTAAAAGAAAGAGCTTACCTTAAAGGCTCCCCTTCAAAGAGGGAGGGGCAGCAAACTGACCTGGAAACTGCTTAAAAATGCTGTATTTTCTGTCCCTGTTTGAGTGTTCCCTGGGCACCTGGGAGTCTTCATTTTTATCCTGCTGGACCTGGACTAGCTCTGTCCTCTTGTTAGGGTTTTTGTCAGACATGGGGAGCAATCACCCAGGAATCACTCAGCTAGCAGCAGTTGCAGCATCTTAGAGCATCTGCCCCAAACACACAACCCACCAAACAAACACTCAGCAAGCCAAACATGCAGGCACCCCTGGCTCACTTACCTTCCCAGAGTAGGATATGGTGCCTGATACCTGGCTCCAATTCCCTTTTCTCTTATTGCTCCTAGTGAACTGCTTGCATATTTCAGGTTACATACTAATTCAAGCATTATGTGTAAAGTTACCATATTTCCTGTTTCAAAAAAAGGACACCTATGGGGTGTGTATGTGGGGAGGTATATGCTTGTGCCCTGCCTCTGCCCCTCACTCCTAAGCCACAGACCCCCCAGCCCTGCTGGTGCCTGTCACTCCTGATCCACTGTACCCCACCCCCCAGATCATGCTGGTGCCCTTCACTCCCAACCCACAGCCCCCCTGTCCCTGCTGATACCCTTCACTCCTGATCCACAGCCCCTTGGTCCCCACCAGCCCTGATGCTCATGCAGCTCGCTTGCTTGCTCACTCACTCACTCACTTACTCATTCACTCACTCCCTCTCTCTCTCTCTTACCTGTCTGCAGCTGTGGGACCTATGTGCAGAACA